GGCCGCGGAGGGGCGGAGCCGCCCGGGGGGCGCGGGGCGGCCGGCGGACATCTTGTGCGGCGGAGGGGAGCGCGGCCGCCGCGGGCCCTTCCCGGAGAGCAGGGTTTAACGCCTGAAAGGAGCCCGGAGTGGCGAGCGCTGAGCCCCGGGGGCCGTCCGCCTGCCCCCAGACTGGCAGTCGTCTTCCCCTTGCATGGAAAGGCTCCCGGAGCGGTTCCTATCCAGATTTCTCATTCTCAAAACACAGTAAAACAAAACACCTGGGGGGACTTTATACCCTTACCATGTTTAAAGAAAAAAAAAATGTTTATTTCTTTTCGCAGGTTAATTTTAAGTGGTATTTGCAACTCCCCTAAGTAATTTCTGTGAAGGTGGGCAGCACCTTTAACCTGCTATGAACAGAAGCCAGGAGGAAGTTCTCTGGTGGGAGGTTGACGCAAAGGGCGTCACGTTTTAACCGAAACTTTTAACCCAGCCTCACAGCGTGCCTCTGATGACCCTGCTGGTGTTTCAGAGAGCGCTCGGCCGTGGTGCGTGGGCCTGCTTTTGTCACAGGTGGCTGAAGGCATTGCTGAAACAAAGGTCTCCTGGGTGGTGGTTTTGATAGTGCATGTGCAGGCTCTCAAGTAGAGCCCGCCTTGGGCTCTACTAGAACTGCTGCTTTCCCTTCTCCATTACTTGTGTTGCCACTTGATGGAAATAGGAAAAATTGAAAGAATGTATTTCTTCTAAGAACCCCACTTTCCTTCCAGCTCAGTCAGCATCAAACAGCAAAACAATTTTGAATAATAGGAATTAAGAAAAACAGGGACAGAAAAGCACACTTGGTGTCCGGAAAGCCTTTCTCCACATGGATTCTTGGTGCTCAGACTGCTGTGAATAATGTTTCTAGCATTTAAATGTGCTAGCTAGATTTGAAGGTGACAACTCTTCGAGGAAGAAGTGACAGAGAGGTTGAGGTGATTTGTCCCTCAACCTTGAATATAGACAATTTCCTGCAAGACAGCATATTCCTACCCAGAGGTAGAAAGGTTATCTGTGCAGTGGGAAAGTCTCTCCATACATTCATGACATGAAAAATATTCAAGTTATCAGCAAGTTGATGAGGAAGTTCCTCAAAAAGGAATATTTACCATCTTTTGCATGTCTCCTTGGCTCAGGTTAGAGTTCTCTGAAGTCATCTTCTGGGCGGTGAGGGTCTGTCCAGCAGCAAAGGAACAAGGCTTCCACAGTGCCACTGTGACTGTATTCCACTAAATATATATATATGCTTACATACTTTTAAGGAACAGGTACATCATCTCATGTAATGGGCTAAATTATGTTTTATTGGCTTCTGGTGAAAAACCAGCTGTGACTGGAGAGCATCAGTGGGGTGTCAGGTGGTTAGAAAGCAATCTAAATCTACACACTTTATTGTGAGTGATACATAAATTGGTGAAGAGATGCCGAACTAGGTTTTTTCCTCTCCCAGCATCAAGTCTGTTATTTGCAATGGTATGATTTCATGTTAACATTGCTAAGTCAACCTTTTTATTGTCCTGGAATAAATAAGTACCTTTTATAAAATCAGTAAACATTTTCTTCCTTTTTTATTTTTTTCCCCACAACACAGGAACAAAACATATCCTGTACTGTTGTAAGAGCAGATGCTGTTTTGCACAGTTCTTTTACACAGAAAGTAGAAAGAGTGAGGAAAACAAAATGAAAATAATTTTCTATAATCGAAGACAATCAACTAAAAAAACTCACCAAACCCAAACCAACCCCTCAAACTTGTGACTCCATGACAACAGATCCAGCCTTACCATTTTAGAGGCACCAGAAGCCAAGCCAGTACTGCGTTTACCATCCCTTTGGTCTCACTTCTCTGCTGACTGCAGTTCACGGTTGTAATTGCTGGCCAAGTTTTACAGATGTAAGGATGATACTGATTGAGCAGAAAACCAGTTTTCGTTGAAAGTTAAAGCTTTTCTGATGGAAGATCAAGTTCCAAGATAAAGTACATATTCCACACAGGCTTAGCCCCAGTAGAATAGTTGCCTGAAAATGCTCCAGCTGCTGCACATAGAGAAGCTAAGTTGGAGTGGATAGGCAGAGCTGTGGTTGCAACAGGAGATAAGCCATTAGGCTTGGCTGCTGTCTCACCTTGAGAGCCTCCCTTCAGTATCACTTCATGTAGTTTGCACCTGTCACAAGATAGAAGACAGGTGATAAAGGAGCAGAGGCTTAAGGCTGCTCTTTCCATTAGTAGAATGAAAATTACATGTGCCAGAAGGTTTGGGCTAGTGGGCCTGACAAAAAAAAAAAAAAAAAAAAAAAAAAAAAAACAGACCTCAGCTGTGTCCCAAGCTGTTGGCAGTTTATTAGATAGTCATTACAGTAACATGAGGCACAAGCCTGATGCACTTGCTCTTCATCTTTTCTTAAGCCAGCCCTGTCCCTATATCTGTCATTCTCCCTTCTTTGTCCTGGTAGCAGACAGGGGCTGTCTGAAGTGTCTGCAACCTTCCACCTGCGACTGTTCTGAAATGCAGTCAAATGCTGTAATGTGGTCACCACATAGTCATTTATCAAGCTCAAGATGAAAATTTGTTCCTCAGTTCTAAGGTTTTCATCTCAAAAACTGTTAGCTCCGATTTAAAACTCAGCTATAACTTTAAGCCACAATGAGACACCTTGATTTCTGTGGTGCCTGAGTGGGTATGAGTTGTGACCAGTTAGAAAAATGAGTGTCAGCACCAGAGAGCTTTCAGACTGGAGCTGGATCTCTCTCAGCCTAAAGTATGCGAAGTAAGGAACCTTTCTAGATGCCTTGTGGTCAACAACAGTTTCTTATTTGTCCCATAAAGCCCACCCCAAAGAGAAGAGATTCTTTGGGCTGCCATGGCTGTGTGTGCATCTTACCAGCCCAGGCTTCAGTAAACAGAGGGACAGGCTCCCTTAGGCAAAACCTCAGGAACTACATAAATACCTGATCCCACCTCAGGGACATTAAGCTATCTTCCAGAAATGCAAAGTAAATCAGATTTGCAAGATGCTTCTGTTATGAAGCAGGTTGCTCCCTATGTGCTTAAGCAGAGGTTTGTGGTACAAGAGCCAGACAGAAACCAACTTGACGTGCTCTGTCGTGACTCAGAGGTGGCCAGAGAAGAGGGCAAGCTACTCCTCATTCCCTGGAAAAGTGTGAGGCCTTAGGTACTGGTCTGACTAAAAGGATCTTCATGGTCTGATTACACTAGGATTCTGCACAGGATCACCTGTAACCTCACCAAGCAGTGGTTACCACAGCAGGACTGCTCTCCGACTTTCGTACCACAGCTGGGCCACTGTGCAGCCAGGCATGCAAGAGCTCCAGGCAGAACAAGCACAGGCAAAGCGGCAGCCCAGCTGCAACGCTGTAGTTGGTGCAGCTGTTTGGGAGAGGAGAGATCTCTTTCCAAACCACTCTGTTTCATCCCCAAGAAGCCAACACAAAACATTTAAAAGAAGCCTTGAGCACCATCTCCGTCACTGTTAACTCAAACACCTCAGAGGGCTGCAGTGGTTAAATATTAAATGTCTCATTTTTCATGGGCATGCTCTTTCTTACAAATTCAAGGTAGAGAAGCCTCCACAGTACAGTCTGCATTAGACTGTCCTGAAGATAAATGCTGGATGTTTTTCAAGGCCAGGGTTTTCACTATCACGATGTCCATGAAAAAGTTTAAATTTCTGTGTAGCTGAATTTCGCACAAGTTTAACCAGATATATTTACTTACAAAAGCACATACCAGTGCAGGACATTTTGTAGTTAAGACTCTTCTCTCCTCCAAAATGGAGGCACACACAGCACACCCCCTGCAAGGAGAGGAAGGCATCAGTGGTCATTGCTGCTTCTGGCTTGAGCAGACTCAAACTGAGCTCTCAGTCTTCCATAGAAAACCACAAAAGCAAGGCGGTAAGGGCCCTAAAAGGGAGAGCAGCTTGAGTCTCAGCCAAAGCAGGCTGTGTCAGGGGCATCAGAAATTATTTTTAAAATGATTGTGCCCCATTGCCTACTGACATTTTGGTTCCCATAGCCCTGGACTTGGATGGGACCAGCTGAACACAGCTGTACCATGATCTAAGGAAGTAAAATTCCTTAAAGGACTTTTAGTTCCTAAAGGTTTTGATTTATTAAAATACCAGAGGAAAAAATCTGAGAAGTTTTCCTGATGTGTAAAGTGAACCTCAGACCAAATGCTCAGAAAGCAGATGGGTTTTGGATGTTTCAAACCGCTGGGGAAGAATGACACACAGAATCATAGACTCACAGAATGGTTTAGGTTGGAAGGGACCCCAAAAATCATCTAGTTCCAATCCCCTGCCATGGACAGTGACAACTTCCACTAGATCAGGTTGCTCAAAGCCCCATCCAGCCTGGCCTTGAACACTGCCAGGAAGGGGGCAGCCACCAGTGCTCTGGGCAATGTGTTCCAGTGCCTCACCACCCTCACAGTGAAGAATTTCTTCCTTACATCTAAATTAAGACTACCCTCTTTCAGTTTAAAACCATTACCCCTCGTCCTATCACTCCACTTCCTGATAGAGTCCCTCCTCATCTTTCCTGCAGGCCCCCTTTAAGTACTGGAAGGCTGCTGTAAGGTCTCTCTGGAGCCTTCTCTTCTCCAGGCTGAACAACCCAACTCTCTCAGCCTGTCCTCATAGGGGAGATGCTCCAGTGCCCTGATCATCTTCATGGCCTCGTCTGGACCCGCTCAAGCAGGTCCATGTCCTTCTTATGTTGGGGGCCCCAGAGCTGCACAGCATTGCAAGTGGGGTCTCATGAGAGCAGAGCAGAGGGGGAAAATCCCTTCCTTTGACCTGCTGGCACACTTCTCTTGATGCAGCCCAGGATACAGTTGGCTTTCTGGGCTGCGAGTGGACTTTGCTGG